TTATATAATCAAAAAAGATTCAAGTACTTTACAAAAAGTAAGAAATATTGCTAAAGTCTTAATAGATAAGAAGAATAAGATAAATGTAAGTATAATAAAATATTTATTGTTTATATTTGCTAGTGAGCCTGCTTTAGTTGCTATCTCTAATTATTGCATTATTTCAAAATAGTTATTGATAATTTAATCTTTTTTTATTTAAGGATAACAACGTGCCACATCCTTTAAGTGATAAAACAAACAGGCAAAAAGAAATGTAAGTAAATAATATGAATATATCTTTATTTAATTAAATTATATAATTATTATTTTTTATTTTTATTTTTGCTAAATTAAGTCCAAAGCAACGAAAATACTGAAAGTCAACAAAGTGAGTTAGAAGATGATGAAGTGAATAACAACAGTGGCACATTCTTAAACTATATCTCTCCTCCAATGAATGATTCTAAGAAAAAATGATTAGAAAAAGGTAATGTTTTTTTAACATTCTAAGTGTTAAGCAAAGGCCAAAAGCTAATATATTTTTTTAAATTTTAGCTATTTAGAAAGGTAATAAAGAGGTCATACAAAGACTTAATAACCTCAAAACTTTAGTAAAAATTTTACAGAAACCTGTCGATGTGATAATATACAATATTAAGCATAACGACTGGAACAAATTGAAAAACCCACTGGCCTTAAGGTTGAAGAAATAGGAGTAGATCTTAATCATGAGATAAAGTGTAATATATTTAGGTAGAATGATAGACCTAAAAGAGAACAATGCGATAGGTATTTGCCACATCTTAGAAAAATACTTCAAAATTTTAAATATAGAAATCTTGAAGTATTTGATGCATTAAAAAAAAAATAATTTTTTAAGTATGAATAATAACATTTTGCCAATAAGATTAATTGGTACTACAAATGCAGCTGTCATTGACAGATTTTCTATTCATCAAGGATCCCACAGAATTATACTTGGGTCCTTTTTGAATTAAAAAATCTGTTAATGATAACTGTATGTACAAAGCATTAGCAGAATTAACTGCCAGTGATCTTAAATTTGTACAAGCAGTATTAACTGTATTAACAGATTTAAGAGACAACTAGCAGTTTTTCTCCTTTGAAGAGAAAAAAATCATAACATTTACCTTTCCTAAGGGCAAAACTGTGGCATTATGTGACAATTTAAAGTTTGCAAATCAAGATCAAGATAATGAAACAGTTGAGCCCTTTCCAAAACGAGTAAAACTGGAGCAAATAATGAATAATTAGAAATAGAAAGGATAGAAAATAACAATCCTGTGTCAGTATCATCCACGGATAAGGTATTATTCTCTGTTATCACCTGTAAAGTACAATTATGTCAATAAAAAATAAATTTTTCATATAAATTAGAAAATTAGAATGAAAGTTGCCAACCTAGTATCTACACCTGTGAATTTATTTATATTGTTAATATTATCATGAAAGTATATCCTTATTATATAGCAAAGAACATGATACATTCTTAACTCTATTACCACCGTCACCTCCTCTTCCTCCATTAATTGCAGTGAAAAGCCTTCAATATTAACAAAAATTAGTCAATAGCTCTATATTATAAACTTCATGGATAGAATATGTACTTACTTTGAGGAATTCTCCCATAATAACCAGTGCCACCATTCGCTATAATAATAAAAGTAACATTTGTCTAAGATTTATATTTGAATATATGTTATTCCATTTATTAGAAAATAGAAATAGAAATACCTTCTCCCATCTCCACCGCAATTACTATATTCTCCATCTCCGCCATGAGCTAGAACGCATCTCAAATGACATTTGCATAATTCGTTTGACTAGTTGATAATGAGCTCTTAACTTTTAACAAGCCAAATTTTATTTTTCAATTCGAATAAATCATAGGCATTATATCGTAACATTTCCTAAAATTGCTTCCTGGCTTCCGATATCTGTCTGATAAGCGCCATCTCTCCTATTCTATTTATATTAATATGAAGTTTCGTCAAACACTCAAGGAGTATCATAACAAGAGAACCTTTGAGCTTCAGGATAATTTCTGTTATAATGCAGATTGATTAAAAATTTTAAATTAAATTAAATTATCGTGATTTTAATTGTTAAGAAAATGAGTGCACTTTATCTCCTTCATCACTTCCAGAGGTCGATTTCGTTGCGTTCTAGCTGTATTGCCCATTTTATCTATAAAAGATAACGACCACCACAATTTGCTCATGCATACCATACCGTTCTTTCCATTATTGTCATGAGTCCCTGATGCGTCAACTTTACATAATTTTATTCATATATTATTACAGTTTTTTTTTTATAGATACTAAGAGTAGGTATCAGAAACAATAATGCAATCTTCTTTATCATTATGGGCCAAAAGATATTTATCTGTACTGCGACATAATTTTAAAATTTTAAGGCAGTCAAGCGAATTAGGGCAATTCGTAACGACTAGAATTTAAGAAACAAAGTATGGGCATTAATGATGCCTGACGAAACTATTTGGCGCTGACGAAATGGTTTCGTCAATGGTTTCGTCTGACGAAACTTGA